CCCCAAAACCCCAAAACCCCAAAACCCCAAAACCCCTATCTTGAGATTGAATAGCAATTTTCTTATACATAAGTAAAATATATGAATGCAGTTGATTGAGAGAATTCATAGTACACATTTCAGTTACTAAAATGCTCAACTTCAAGCAACCTCATTCCTTCCCACTGTAACTCTTTCACTAGACACTCAGCGATTTCTTTATCAGATCCATGTTAATGTCGCTGCACAGAGCCATGCAGTCCTAGAAAGCACCCTGGTAGTTCGACTCTGCTCCCTTGGATTCTATGTATTGTTAGATCGCATAGATTTGTGATTCGTTGTTGATCAACTTCTTCTCGATGTCGTTAAGTCTGTTATAAATGTCACTTTAGAGGATCTGATTCTTCTTAGTATCATGCTTCATTGAATGGTAAGTCATTTGCTTTGAAAGACCTGGCTTATACTGAGAGATGACGGTTCTAATTGAGGCAAGTCTAACCTTCTCCTAGTCAAACACTACCTTCAAGTCATCCGTCTTAGTGAACTTGTTGTTCATCTCATCTTCCATCTCTGTAATTTTCTCAGTGACTTACTGCATTTCCTTTTCGATTCTACCCTCGAGAGTCTTAATCTTCTCAAGATCATTTTGTCTCTGTTCCAGCTCAACCTTCAGTCTAGCATAGGTGTTTTCAGCGTTTTCCAATTATCCTTGCTTGAAAGCCAAGTCTTCCTTTTGATCTTTGTACTAAGCAGCAGTTGGAAGTTTGTTTTGTCTGGCCATATTCTTTTGCATGTGCTCAAGTAATGCAGCGATTGTTGACTAGTGAGTAGCTATCTGTTGCTCATAGGTGTTCTTTTCATCCTCGAAGGACTGCATAAATTCATTGATTTCCTTCTCCTTTTGATAGAGAATTTCATACTTCTATGCCTCATTCTCGTCAGACTTCTTTTCTTGTAAGTCTTGCTCAATCTCCTTAATGTTACGCTAATAGGTCTCAATAATTCTGCGGATATCTGCAACATCCTTCTCAGCTTACTTGATCTCAGCGTTATCCTGCTTAATTCTGTTCAGGAGACGCTCTCTTGCCTCGGGGAATGGAAGGTTCATCTCATTTGTCTACAGTTCCAAATCTTCCTTTCTCTTGGTCAGAGTAGCTTTTTCTTCTTTTAGATGCTGAGCTCTTTGCTTTAAGTTATCTTGCTTTAATCTGGTCTCAGCTTATGCAAGTCTGGCTGTAGTCTCTTCGAGATCACTTCTGTTCTGGTTGATATCCTGCTATAAGCCACCGTTCTCTTCCTTCAACTTTTCATATTCGTTTCTCTGCTCTGGATCAAGATCATTCAATCTGGCCTCATTGGCAAAGTTAATCTCTTGGATTTGTGACTCAATTCTCCCGATCTCATTCTCCATATCTCTCTTCTCAGCAAAAAGATTATCTAGGTGAGACCTTTGCTTGTCATTTTGGTTTTTGATGTGCATAAAGAGAGCTTCAATGTCCTCTGGCTTGGTATCAGATCTGTACTTGTCCAAAGCCAAGTTGTAGTCAGCCAACTCGCCCTCGTACTTTCTTACATCCTTAATAAGAGTTTCGTACTTCTTCTCAAGAGTTAGATAAGTAGAATTGTCTTTATTAATGTCCTCTACTTCCTGCTTCATCTTGTTGATTTCATTCATGATCTCAGTGTTCTTCTACTTCAATAGATTATTGAAATATGTCCTGTCATAGATCTGTCTACCTGGACCTTATGCGGCAGTCTTAAGAACTCCACCTACTCCATGGTTAGTAATGGGTCTCTCGACAACTGAGACCTTAGTATTTTGTCCTACTCCTGAGAAATTGGCTTCTCTTCTAGCAGCAGTGCCTTGACGCATGGCGGTGGTCATGCGGTTGTTATTATTAGCACCACCCATTTGCATTCGTTAGGCAGTTCCAAGTCTGGGATCCATTTTATTGATTATGACTATTTCAAATGTTTTGAATTTAAATTTATTATATTATCTTCGCCCCCTTGTCTCAATGACTCACACTCATGGGGTTTTGGGGTTTTGGGGTTTTGGGGTTTTGGGG